CTAGACAAAAGTGTACAGTACCATTTGCAAAATTATTTAAACTGCCTCGTTAAAATTTAAGAATATGCTTTATTTAAAAGCATATTTAGCCAAAAATAATAACAAGTGAATTAACTTAACGTTCTAAACACCTATAAAACTTTTGCTTTGTTTTCTATTGTTAATTTATACACATTTTTGTTTTAAGAAATTGCTAAATATTTTTGTCTAGTACTGTACAGTTGTAGCTGATGTTCTAAGACCGCCCATCGAGAGCTCTACTCGTTCAAGCTTGTTCCAACAATTTCTGTCTTGCTCACGCCTAGTGTGTATTCTTTCTATCTTCGCGCAGATTTCTTCAAGGTCACAATTCTAACAAATTGAAATGGACTGTATCATGATTTAAACTGCGAGATTTTTACCTTTAGAAGTCGCAACTCTAAAAATCATTTTAGTTTTTTTTATTTTAATAATTATTACAATAGGTATATCAATATTGATCAATTTTTTAATTTTCTGGCTTCTTCATCCAATTCCAAATAATTGAATTCTGTTGTAAGTTCATTTTCGGCAATGGTTGAGCTTGTTTCGCTTTCGACTGTAGTCGCATATTCGTTGTCGCCAGTTGTTATGATAACTGTACCATTCCATTTAACTGGTCTACTTAGATCTTCGTAAATGTAATTCGAAAAGGCTGATTGAATCCTTTGGACAACAAACTCCACAACTGGGGGGAATTTACTAGTACTTGGACGATTAAACATTAACTTTTCACTAAAAATTAGTATTAACTATAACCTTCATAATATTGTGTACTTACGCACTTTACGCATTTGTTATACTGGTATATAATATAGATACGTACAATTTTAAAGGAGATCCAAAAGTGCATGTTGTACAAAACACTGTTATCGAAACAATGACAAAATATTGTTGCAAAAACATTATGTACTGGAGTGTAAGAGTCAAAATGTGTTAGTTACGCGATTGTTTATTCTGAAAAGTGTGGTACGAACGATTTCAAAGTGGTACAAGTACTTTCTCGATAAAGGACGGGCATTTATTACTTTCTTAACAGATCATTGTAAATTTCTAATACGAGCAGTGAATTAAGTATCAAACGCACAAACAAAGAATAAATTTTTTCGATTTTCTAATGATTAAAGCAATTATACGCATCTGAACGATCTGAGCTTTTAAGGATTTCGCACTAGGTACTAAATAAAAATATGTTTTATGTGTATTGGGAGGGTCTGCTAATGAAATATAGTTTTAGAAATTTTGGGTGTCATTTTCCCACAGATATTGCCGAAAATGTACTCGTATTTCCGAAGTAGAAATTCAAAATATGTATGTCGCCACCAAGAACTTCACATATTCCTACATGAACCGTGTTACTAATCATCCCCTACTTTGTGGTAATGGTCAAAGAAAAGCTACATTTAATTTGATATGTCGTATGTTTAACGAATTTCATGAAATTTTAGGCACTCGGATGAAATTGTCATGTCTCATATTCGGTATTTTTACCACCTTAAAATAAACCTTGCCTTCTAGTTGTTACTTTTTTCTAATATACGTTTTTGGCTAAGGGGTCAAATTTTTCGCAAAAACACTAATCCTCTGTAAAGCCCCTACAATTAGATTATTTCCCGAAAAGCACCCCCACAAAAGATTCTTGAAAAAAAGCCAAGTTTTGTATAAAAAGATTTGTACATTGGTTTTATTTAAATAAGTACTTAATAAATACAAAAGCATAAATACGAGAACTATTCCTTAAATTAATGCATTATGCGATTAAAGTTGAAGATGAGGGTTGGTGTATTTGATATACTTTATTAAAGCGTCGTTTTCTTCGCATACGAAAGGTTTGACATGATGACAGGCAACGTCATGCCAATTGACGCCGTCTTTGTAGAAATTGTTGAGAACAGCCAAACAATTTTCACTCGCGCCACCCTGCTGAGCTTCCCTATTATCCGGCTGGGGTTTTCCGATACCACCCGTTTCACTCCAGTCGTTTTGATCTCTCTGGGTCGTAGGAGCCAGTTTCTGGAGTTCGGCAGTCCAGAACCATCCGTTTACCGATACAGGTTGAAGGTCAGGGCGATCGCAACCCTTAAAGTCACATAATCTACCCGATGTCCAAATGTATTTTACCTGAAAAAAGAGAACAACTCTTATTAGAATAAGTTCAATCTAAAAAGTAATCGTAACCGAATTCCAATGCTTCATAACAGGTCATTTAGATCATAGCCATTTAGCTCAAATCATAGTCCTACTATTTTAGAGAATTTGTTAAATAAATGCAAATTGTTTCCCGTGCAATAAATAAATAATATTTATTGTACCACAACATACCTTGTCTTTGACAATTCGTTCTTTGATCCATTCGTTTTCAGCGCTAGTTTCTAAAGACACCAAGTCCATACAACGTTGTCGGCAATAGTTTCGCGCGTTTAACCAATCTTCTTCAACCCCTTTTAACGATGGTTCTCTCCAGCTGAACATGTATCCCTTTCCTGCATAGGAAAATAGTGTTTTTCTTGATCTTAACTAGTTAAAAATTCTATCGTTTGCTTACCATCAGTAAATCTTTCGTGAATTGTCCTTTGAGCGCAAAGTCTTGGGACTGGAGGTTCTAAAATTCTACCATTTTTGAATTGTGCGTGAGTAAATCCAATAACGAACAAAACCAAGAAGTATCCCTTCATTTTGACCACTAATGCTTAACAAATAAGCCTGTAAATAAATAAAAAAAAAATACAATTACAGCAACGGGCTTATCATATTCGTAAGTTAAAGGTTTTTAGTTTTAAAAGAAATAGAACAAATGTTTCAATACTTACTAATCGTTACATCAAATATTTATCTTAAACCTGAAGAAGTCAAAGTTTGGATAAATAATTGCGAACGATATTTTGAAACTTTTGTACTTATTTTTCTTTTAAAATTGATTATTAAGTAACGATTTCAACTATTAATCATTTAAGGGTTTTTATACTTACAAATTTCTTGGTGAAGTTTTAGTCCAACTTAAAAGTAAAATAAACACTAATAAAAGTAGTGACTGCTCGAAACTTTTGAAACAAATTAACTTATGAACTAAGAGGGACACTGGCATATATATAGGAATAGTGGGGATACTGCTAATGGGATGTAAACTACGTTTTTACTATACAAGAATAATAACATTGTCCGAAACCACATTGGGTTTCTGGCAATAATGAATAATCCATTAGTGAAAACGAAAAGTTTGTAGCTTTTGCAGAAAATTTTAGAATTTATCTCCAAATGGATATTTAACGAGCCGATTTTAGACATACCCGATCATATGAATTAGTATTAACATTAAGACGAATTAATTAGTTTTGTTAGTTAGTCATTCTAACGAACCTTTACCTAAATAGGATCACCATCACGTATCGTTTAAAGGTAATCAAACTTTCTCCCATAGGGAAGTTGTTAATTCCACGTTAATTAATCAAACGATTACTGCAACAATTATATAGATATTTATCGTTTATTGATTGAAGTAATTTAATATTTATTTCTTTTGTTCATAATTATTTCGTAATTGAATCATAATAATATATTGATATGTTGTGCTATTGCTGAAGAATTTTGTACTTGTTAATTGTTTGTTAGCCGAAAAATTTTGACTCAATACCTTCCCCATAACAGTATTCTAAATAAAAAAATAAAATTATGCTATAACTTTTTACAGCACGCTAAATCAAGATTTCTCTAATATTAAGTATTTTATACAAACATTTCATAGTGTTCCATAGAAAGCATTTTTTTGGGTTTCAACTCGCCACTAGTGTATATAAAATTTGACATAGGTACTATGAAATGTTGCAGAAGATATAAAAGACATCTATATTTTTTAAGTATAATTTTTCGTTGTTTTGGGGTAGATATTGGACCTTATTGATTTTTCTTATTTAAACAAAATCTGTTTTGATCTTATCGTTAAAAAACTTTATGCAGTAATATTTCTTCTGTAATTGAAAATTTAAAAAATTGAAATTTGTTTCTGTGTGGCATTTGAAGTAATACATATTTTCATCGTAATGTGTGGAAAGCACACGTTGGTTGTTTGTTAGTTTTTTTTTTAGAAACTTTGGAATTTACTTGCACTCTACACATATCCGGCGCCTTACTTAATATTTTGTTGGCCGACAGGTATGCCTGCCTAAAAAATTTTTAGTATTGCGCTTTCTTCAACCTTAACATAGAAAACGACAGTGTCATCCAAAGTATTAACATACATGTATAATGTATAACATTTTTAATCTCGTGTTATGTATTTGAAGGTAAAGATGATAACCTTTGGTAACTTTTTTTTTGTAATAATCGAAGTCATCTTACAAAACTGTCATGTCCAAATCGACCTTAGGAATAAGAATTCTGAAATTAAAAATTTCGCGTATCATAAAACTTTCTTTGTAAACCTTGATAATACTTAGATCGAAAGGCGAAACGTCGATGGAGATTACATAGTTAATAAAGAACATTTCAGCCCTTACTGGTTACTTCTAATTGAAAAAATCTTAAAAACAGCTTTTATTTATAAAAGTACTTATATATTTCCTAAAGGTGTACAAATGTGAGTTTGTTTGTTTGCTACCCTTTTACGTCTTAACTATTTAACCGTCATCATGCACATAGGATACCTTTTATCTAGAATTAAATACTATTCCCTAGGGATAGGAAAAAATAAGTTTCATGCAATCGCCGATGATTTTTCACACGTATTTAGGACATCAACGCGAGCGAAGCCCCGGGTAAAACCTATCATGAAATTGTCAGGGGTACAGAGGACATAGGGTACTTTTTATCCAGAAAAGAATATTGGTCCCGAAGGATAGAAAAATTAGTAGTTTTATGTGGTCGCCGATGTATTTAAGACATCAACGCGAAGCTGCGGGTAAAACCTATCATGAAATTTTGTACATACAAAATTAATAGTTTTATGTGGTCGCCGATGTACTTATTTAAGACCTAAAAAATCATGAAATTTTGTACATACATTGTCAGGGGCAGAGAATAGGACGTAGGGTACTTTTTATCCATAAAATAATACTGGTCCCGAAGGATAGAAAAATTAGTTTTATGTGGTCGTCGATGATCTTTGACGCGTATTTAAGACATCAACGCGAGCGAAGCCGCGGTAAAACCTATTATGAAATCTTGTACATACATATCAGGGGTACAGAGGACATAGGGTACTTTTTATCCAGAAAAAAATATTGGTCCCGAAGGATAGAAAAATTAGTAGTTTTATGTGGTCGCTGATGTATTTAAGACATCACTGAGTCACTGATAAAAAATCAGGCCCATGCTGTTTGGCATAAGAAGACGGTTAAGTTGGGCCACCCTGCACATAATTGTATTTTTAATTTTTCCTTGAGAAATGATCTCTGAAGAAAAATTTCACCATACGAGGGTGGATTGATAAGTTTCCGGCCTAACCAAGAGATGACGCCACTAGGCCTACCTTGAGGTGACATTCTATAGTACCATCCTTGGATAGCTTGTAGCTATAGTTTCAGCCCGATCTCCTTGCTAG